CCCGATGCGGGACTCGATCCAGGGACTCCAGGATCATGACCTGAGCCGAAGGCAGTCGCTCAACCAACTGAGCCACCCAGGTGCCCGAATTTTCCCCACTTTTAAAAGTCAAGCTTTGGGACACCTGGGTGGCTCAATCGTTAAGTGTCCGCCTTCGGCTCAGGTCATGATCCCAGAGTCCTGGGATCGAGCCCCGCATCGGGCTCTCTGCTCAGCGGTAAGCCTGCTTCTCCCTCTCCCACTCCTCCCTGCTTGTGTTCCCTCTCTCGCTGTCTCTCTCTCTGTCAAATAAATAAATAAAATCTTAAAAAAAAGTCAAGCCTTTATCCATTTACAGATAAAGAAGATATAGTATATGTATATATACAATGGATTACCACTCAGCCATCAAAAAAAAAAAAAAGAAAAGAAATCTTGCCATTTGCAATGATGTGGATGAAACTAGAGGGTATTATGCTAAGCAAAATAAGTCAACCAGAGAAAGACAATTACCATATGATCTCAATCATATGGGGAATTTAAGAAACAAAACAGGGGATTATAGGGAAAGGGAGGGAAAAATAAAACAAGCCAAAATCAGAGAGGGAGATAAACCATAAGAGACTCTTAACTATAGGAAACAAACTGAGGGTTGCTGGAGGGGAGGGGTGTGGGGAGATGGGGTAACTGGGTGATAGACATTAAGGAGGGCACGTGCTGTAATGAACACTGGGTATTATGTAAGACTGATGAATCACTGAACTCTACCTCTGAAACAAGTAATACACTATATGTTAATTGAATTTAAATTTAAAAAATAATTAAAAATAATAAAAAACAAATCAAGTGGGGAAAAATAAAAATGACTGTTCTTAAGGCTATTTTAAAAAAATTAAAAAATAAAAGTCAAACCTTACCACCTCCAAAGGCAGTCTAAAATCTTTCATTAAAACAAAATATTACAGTAGCATCTATTTCTCTAAAAATCTATTATTAAGCCTTGGACATTGTTTTACTATACAGATGTATCTGCAGTTGAAGGATTTTACTAGAAATTTCTAGTCAACGTATGAGTTAGAATATAGCAGCTTCCTTAATCAAAATTATAAAAAGATTATTTCTGTACACCAAAATCTGGACCTTTTAATATTTTCCTAAATGGACCTTTGGGTGTAAATTAGACTCACCGTGGCTCCCACTTCCTTGGCCTTATCTATGGTTTCCATTGCCAACATATGATCAAGACCAGGGTCCAATCCCAGTTCACCAATGACTGTGATGCCGGCATCTTCCACACTACAACAGGTGGGAAGGGGAGGAAGAAAAAGTTGGATATAAAATAAAAATAATGCCATGGAGCTACTTAGTTGAAAATGACTGAAACTTACCTTTTTTCTAATTCTTTTAGCGCCGGTGTGATGTAGCTTGCAGTGATCATGTTAACTTTGCTTGTGATGCATGCCTTCGCCACAAGAGGATGCAATGCATAAGGCAACAAGCTTAAAAAGAGAGTGAAACTAATCAAAAACTTTCCCAACCCTACCTTTGAATATACCTTAAACTGCACTAAAGCTAAGACATCACTCTGATTATTCTCTCCAAGGTGACCAATGACTCTTGGAGAACTACAGAATAAATTCATCCTGTTATCACATTTAAAACCCTCCACAATTTGACTTTCACCTAATCTTTCCATTATTCTCCCTCTATCTTCTTCATAAACCAAAATGGGAACCAAAGAAGTTATTATAATTCTCTACTCACAGCCTGTACTTTTCCAGCTCTGGAACTTTACTCTGACTGTACCTTCTACTTGGAATATTATGTCCACCCACTCACCCCCATCCAGGCCATACCCTACTTGAAGAAATGTCTGGAGAGTCACCTCCTCTAAGAAGCTCTCCCAGATTCCCCCAAAGCCAGATCTTCTTCTGCATTCATTCAGCTATTTCTTTGCAACATTTAATGGGATTTATTCCATTCATCCTTATATTTCTATGATTTTCTATCTTGGCTCCTCTACTAAAAGATAAGGTTCTTTTTCTTTTTCTGCCATATTTCCCAAATGGCTATCTATCAGTTGGGTTAAACTAAGTCAAAGTGACCCAGATGTTACATTACAGAGTAGAATCTAAGAAGGTCCAAAGGGAGAAATAAGCTTTAATGGTACTGATTGGTGCAAAACTTTTCAAAATGGTTAGAAATCTACATGCTAAGCAAAAAAAATGAAACTGTGTTCAAAACTTAACTCCAACTCAGTTTTCTAAAAATCTGGCTTTGGTGTTTTAATTTGGCACTAGGACTACACAATCACAAAAAAATGAATTTAAGTAATTGTTAATATAAATGAATATATTCATGTTCTATCCAAGGAATAATAAAACATCATGTCAATTGCATAACAATATTCAAGTTCTACTAGCTTATTGACTACCTGGTGAAGCAAGCTACATAGTACAATGAAAATACAAATACAAACTTGTAAACATGATCACACTATTATCACTGTATTTGTCAAATTCATCCTGCAAATTTCAGATTTTCTCTAAAAACAAAAAAATAAAACCACCTCTGAGATACTTACGCCTCCTCAGGTTAGTAAAGTGTTGCTACTTACATTTATTATCCTGTGGAATAAAATTGTGTTCATATTTTGCCAGTATCAGTATGAAAACTCTCAATCTCTGTTTTTTGACTTTTTTAATTAAAAAGAATTATTACCAAACATGGTAACCCCTTAAAAGCCAATGAAAAAATACATGCAAAACTCTTTGTTGGAAAAATATTAATAGAAAATGTACAATGACATCATCTTAAAGATTAAGTAGAGTTTTTTTGGTCACATTCCCCACATTAAAAACTTTCTTAATAAAAAGTTTATTAAGATCTAATAACATTTTAAAACTCTGGTATAATCTGCACTAACCAAATAATATGCTAAGAACTAGAATGCCAGAACTTTGATTAATGGTGCCTATTTTAGACAAAAGGATCAGCATTCATAACTCATTGCATATGTAATATAATACCTACTAAAGGGACAAAACTTTTGAATGATTTGACTCCAACCCAATTAATCCAAATAATTAGAAATGCCACTTGTTAAAACACACAAAATACAAATGGAATTTTCAAAGTAACTTACCGAACTCAATTACTACTTTGCATTAAGAACTAGAATCGCCAAATTAAAACCATGAGGATTTCACATATTATTATAAATTTTTTTGTGAAACATATTCTTCATTTTATTTTGGTGGTCACTATTACTGTGTTTTCATCAAAACACTTTCTCCAACTTAAAAAATAAAAAATGTAAAGAATGCTACAGGATAACAGTGTTTAACAACATTACCACTATTCAGCATGGAAACTCAACGGACTGAGAAAAATTAAATATAAAACAGATTTTGTTAATGTTAAATTTTTTCGAGGCCATCAGTTTGCTAAATTTTTAAATATGCATTATTATTTAGTCATATTTTGCTTCAGATTTAGTTCTAAATGTGTATTATAATGTTTTCCTTTTTTATGGAAAAGAAAAGCAATGTTTTATTTAGGTACCTATGTGTGGCGAAACAAATTCCCTTTGTTTTATTCAGGAGGCTAGAACATTCCATTATGAATCATAATCATATCAATGACAAATAAGGTCTATGGGTCATTGGTAAATTTTTGCTGAATAAAAATTATTGCACATTACATTTATATAAATAGAATAACATTTTAAGTGCCTAAAGCGAGCCTGTAATTTAAATACATCAAGAGATAATACACAAGTTCCCACACAGGATTACCTTTCCTATTGTATGTTTTCTAAACCCTTTTGTTGTTGTTGTTGTTGTTGTTTTTTGAAGTAGGACATCACAGAACTTCCTCCAAAGATATCATTTCAATCTGATCTAACTATGAAAGTCACCTCATTATGGATGAGCAGGTAGCTTTCTTCCATCTTGGAAAAATTATATTCTAAGAATAAATGACTCTTCTCATCACTTCGGTATTTTAAAACCCAGTTTAATTATAGAGTACCCTCATGTAGCTCTGTACCTAGAAGTTAGATCTGCATTTTTATCAGTAGTAAACACTATAGTTCAAGATCTGTTCCGCCAATAAGACTAAAAATGGTTAAAAGGCTACAAAATCTACTCATTTTCCCTTAAGCTTTATTAAGTCCAAGTGATAAAATAGCCACCAAAATATATGAAACATTAATACTTCTGACACAGCAATTCCACTTCTACATAGATATCCAACAGAAATGCGTATATATGGCAACCAAAAGACAAATACTAAAATGTTCATAGCAACACAATTCATAATAGCCAAATTCCAGAAACAATCTAGACATCCATCAACAGTCGTGCTCGCTTCAGCAGCACATATACTAAACATCCATCAACAGTCAAATGGATAATAGGGGTATATTCACACAATGGAATGTTACATAGCAATGAGAATGAATAAACTATAACTACAGGCAACAACACAAACAACTCTCACAATCACAGTGTTGCAGAAAGAAGGCAGCCATAAATGAGGACACACTGAGTAGCTCCAAATGTACAAAGTTGAAAACTAGCAAGAATTAATGTATACATGAGAGGCCAGGATAGTGCTTACCCTTGAGGGATAGGGCTAATAATGGAAACGGACACATGGTGGGCTTCTGGGGTACTGTTATTCTGTTTCTGGATGTAGATGATGGTTATGAAGTGTGTTCACTGTGAAAATTCACTGAACTATATACACTTATGATTTGGGTATTTCTGGGTGCACACTTCAATTGAAAATTTACTTAGGGGGCAGCTGGGTAGCTCAGTCGTTAAAATCGTCTGCCTTCAGCTCAGGTCATGGTCCCAGGGTCCTGCGATCGAGCCCCGCATGGGGCTCCCCTGTTCCACGGGAAGCCTGCTTCTCCCTCTCCCACTCCCCCTGCTTGTGTTCCCTCTCTTGCTCTTGTCTCTCTCTGTCAAATAAATAAAATCTTTAAAAAAAAAAAAGAGGGGCGCCTGGGTGGCTCAGTCGTTAAGCGTCTGCCTTCGGCTCAGGTCATGATCCCAGGGTCCTGGGATCGAGTCCCGCATCGGGCTCCCCGCTCTGCGGGGAGCCTGCTTCTCCCTCTCCCACTCCCCCTGCTTGTGTTCCCTCTCTCGCTGTGTCTCTCTCTGTCAAATAAATAAATAAAATCTTTAAAATAAATAAATAAATAAATAAATAAATAAATAAATAAAAAGAAAAGAAAATTTACTTAGGAGAAAGAGAAAATAAGGAAAGAGACGTAACAACAGTGATCATATATTTTGTGTTTCCTACACAAACAAAATATATGACAATCATCTCTTCCTAGATACTAACCTGATGACAAGATCCTGTTTTGCCACCAAGGAGCTCAACTTCTCTTCTTGTTTACTAATGTCCATGCTAACAGGATTAATATTATATTTCTTACCTAACTGTTTGATTTGGTTCTTCATGTCAGAGCCTATTTCAAGAACACAAAAGTCCAATTTTTAGATTACCTTCACTAGTCAGAGAGTAAAACACATTTTAACATCTCCAAAAATAATTTCTCAGAGTTTAGAAACAAGATAGTCATCTAAAATTCACAGAGTAAGCATGCTTTGAAATCGGTTTTCCTTCTTCTTTAAAAATTAGGGCTTATTTACCTACTGTTATTTCTATCTTGTTATCTCTTGACAGGTATTCCAATACAGGTTCAGATACATAACCAGATCCAAGAACCAAGACCTTTTTCTTGCTGTCCATTGAAAGTGACTGAGCAAGTTCCCTATCAATAAAAGAGGGGAAGGGGAGAAAAATTTAACAACAACAACAAAAATATTTAAATAACAAAATCTTGCTGTCCCCCAAACAAACCAAACCTTAGACTATGAAGCAATAATTTTTCCCACATTTCTTATAATAAGAACCTCAACAGGAGTTCCCTAGACCAACATTTTTCATTAATTATTTGAGATTTTGCATGATAAATAACAGACCCTGACTTCTCTGAGGTGTATGTCCATACTTTCATGAATTCCCAACCACTGATGAGGTGCAGATGCTGGACCATCGCCTGGCTTGCTCACAATTGAGTAACTTGGTTTCACACTTTATCCTTCCAAGGGACATGATTCAAAATCATGCCAGGGGCTATACTTCAGGAACCTTACCCTTCACAACAATGTGAGGAGACAACAATCTGAGAAGGAGATTGTTATTAGCCATATTAGGCATTGTTTTGTCATTTATCATTAGGGTCACTTGAAAACAATTAAAACCAGACTTCTGAAATCACAAATGCCATGGGTTAAATATAAAAACCTAAGATGAATTACTAAGCAGGATTTTAATGCTTGAACAGTTTATTCTATTGGAATTTGTCCCTTCCTGGCAGATTAACTCTCTGTCTTTCCTACAAACTATGACCTCCAACACCGTGACTGTCTTGTTCATCTTTATAAACCCATTAGTGCTCAACAAATTTTGTCTTAAGTATGGAAGATACTCATTAAAACTCTGTTGATTCAAATTCACAAATATCAATGTAAGACCATGGGAATGGCTTGGTGCCAGGGACATAAACAGAAGGCTCTGTTGTTGGAATCTTTTAGGCCAAGATGTCTCTCAAACTTTAACCTTTCAATTAATTCTAAGTGAATAAAAATAAATTTAAATACAAAATGTCCCTGCCCCTCTTCACCCCCAACACTCATGTTACTGATGAGGTGAGTCTCCTTTAACCTCCACTCCCATCCATTTCACCCCCCAGAAAAGAACACAATTATTTGGTTATTGTGTATCCTTTCTAACAATATTTTCTATAGTTTAAGTAATTAAATTTCATTGTTTTGATGTCCAAAAATACAATATTCAAAATACATTTTTAAAAACTCGCTCCCAAATTTTAATACTGTCCACCCCATCAGCTACCTCGAACACTTGAAGTTAATAATCACTGTGCTAAGTGATGAAGAGGCTATTCGAGTAAGGCAGGTATTTAAGACAACTTAAATTTCCTTTCAAAATACAATCTTCATTATCAGAAGTTCCACTATGAAGGGGGGTAGGAAGTCCTAGCAGACTTGCTGCTACAAGAAATATGGTGTGTAAGAGTGAAAACATCATCGCGACCAGTCATGTTAGACATGTTATTAGGATTAGTAATATAGAGATCATCAGATGGTAAGAATCAAACAATAGAGAGTTATGAAAAATGAACATATGTGAAGTTTCCCCTATAAGAAACTCTCTTACAGGACTATAGCGCTAGCCAGTTTAAAAACAAAAACCAAAACAAATCTCTCTTGGTCTCCTATGCCAGAATATTTCACCGACACATCATGGATGGACAAGCACAGCAGTAGTATACTTGATCCAAGCAAATCTCTTTACTTCTTAGAGACAGAAGAACTGAGAAGGAAGATAAGGCAGTTCGTTTGCTTCTTTTTAATTTTTCCACTCTGGTCTCTCCTGAGAATTCAGTGCATGGATTATTTTGTTAAATGTGAATAGACTAGTGGAGTAGATATAAACACAAATCAAGTGCAATCAGCTGAAGAGGACCAGAACATTCCAAAGAAATGTCAATGTTTTCAAACTCTGAGCAGTAAAATCAATTAAGGAAACAAGGCCCTTAGCTAAGTACCTTTCTAAGAGAACTATTCTCTTGGATACATTTACCACATTACTGTTTGGCACCTTCATCCTAAGAAGAATTCCCAGGGAAAACTGACCTCTCACCATTTTCTTTCTTCATGACTTCTCTTACTTTCTAAATAAGAGCCCACTTGCCTAAACATTTTACTAAACAAAACAGAGTCCAAACCCTCAACTAAAAATCAGACTGAAAGCACCACAGAAAGGGTTAGTGTGCTTATTTTCTGTGAGAAAATAGCTGAGACATGTCAATATGCAAAATGCTAGAGAAAGAAAAAGGGGCTCCTCAAAGGACAACTTTTTAGACTTTTGCTTGCTTACACACAAGTCTACAATAGGAGATTAGAAAGCCAAAATGATGTTCAGAGGAAAATAATTCCCACTGGTTTCACCCAGTCACATAGTTTGGATTTCCTATATGTACATTTTCCAAATTGTATAAACCTAGTATCATTAACTCAAAAAGAAGCATTTAAAAATACTCAACAAAACCAAGATAAGAATAATGCTTACCTGCTCTCTCGGAGTTTCTGGATATATTTATACTTATCAGTCAATACACCGTTGGATGTAATTACTGCCTAAATGTGTATGACACAAGACATTTCTTTAGTGTCCATATATTAGACCCACAAACAGGGGCTCATATAACAAAGATGGAGAGAGAAAGGGAAAGTGAGAGAGGGAGAGAGGATGGTAGTGGAAAAAAACTATTTTTGTAACTTACGTCTCGCACCACAGGAGAAAAATTCTGACTTTCAAGAGGCTGTGTCGCATCTGATAATATCTGAAAAGAAAATGAGATTGGTAAGAGATAAATGATTGTAGAGAAGAATTCCTGGTGTTTGTTTCCATATTAAAATATTAGTCAAAGGAAAAAAAAGAATTTATAAAAGTTTTCTGAAGATCACTGAATATAAATAATTGGTAATAGAAGTCCACAAGCAACGAATTTTGTCCCCTAAGAACCTATTTCAGCACAAGTTCCAATTTTAAAACTAAAATTTGATCATCTTTGCTTGTTAAAAACACAAAATGGTTTATCCTTCCCCACCAGTTTGATGTGTCATATTGAACATGCTGGCAAACATCACCACAAGCTTTACAGCCATAGTTCCCACTCTGAGGGCCCGAATCCCACCCCAAAGGTTCACATTGTTCTATCCGAAAAGAGAATGGGCCTTTCAGACAAAAAGCCATCAAGCCTGCAATAGGGAGTCTCCCTCAGGCCCATATTATTCAACGTACAGGCACATCAGCATTTCGAAAGTATCAAGAAAAAAGTAGACCTCAAAGAGTCACCCAGTCTTCCCTTTATCTTACAAGAATGAGTCAGATGGCCAATAACAAAAGCCACATCTCTCAGATTAATGTCCCACCATCCTTCTAATCCTCCTCTTTTCTTACAAAGTATCCAATTCCTGAATAGGCTGCCAAGAGTAAAGGTCATATAGGTTAGTAGTATTGCTCCTGATGGTCAGGACCTTAGGGTCAATGAGACAACCATTCCCTCCTTATCCTTGTAGGTTAAAGTCTAGAGCACTCACCCAGCTGAGAAAGAGCAAAATGTACCTACCAGATACTGGCAGAGAAATATTTATTTACTGTATTAAAATAAATATGAGGGGCATCTGGGTGGCACAGTCAGTTAAGTGTCCAACTCTTGGTTTCAGCTCAGGTCGTGATCTCAGGGTTGTGGGACCGAGTCCCATGTTGGGTTCTGTGCTCAGTGTGTAGTCTGCTTGAGATTCTCTCCCTCTCCCTCTGCCCCTCCCACTTGTGCTCTCTAAAATAAATAAATAAATCTTTAAAAAATAAAATAAATATCAAAACTACTTTCATGTGTCTAAAACATACAACACTTATGCTATCTATTCCTGGGATATGGGCATTTAAAAAAAAGATATATATCTATAAGGCAGGTAGGGCATCTTTGGGGAAACTCATGGAATTGGCACACCTGGTGTCCTCCATTGCTTCTTTTACCCAGGCACCTGTGACTATTCCTTTCTCAAGCTGACTCCTCCACCTACCAACCCTGTCTCCTGCCAGAAGCCGTAGGTGAATAACAACATGGGATTCGAATTTCACTTGGCATATGCCTAAGCCACCAAACTCGTGTATCCTTCCATTTTCTCGACTGTTATACCTAATTCTGCAGCCTTACTCAGGCCTTTCTGAGACCAGGGGAACTACCTCCCACCTCTCTCCTTCCATTTATCTTCAATCTAAAACACAAACCTGACTGTTTCTTCTGTGTCTATTTAAAATAATCCAGTAGCTTTCCAAAACCCTCAAGATAAAAGTCTCTAGTTCCTTATGTGGTCCCCAAGACTCTCTATAGTCTGTCTCTGCCCCTCCAACCTCAATTCTCCCTTTATCTCATACCCAAAACTCTAGTCCTATCAACACTGTGAAGATGCTCATCTGCATTAGCGTTCCCATGCCTCTGTGCTATACCATGTGGATGCCTCACATGCTATTATTCCTCTACATGGAATTCCCACTCTTCATCCTCCAAGATACAGCTGAAGAACTGCCTCCTCTGTGAAGCCTTTCTCAAAATCTGCCCCCAAGCAGACTGAAGCTAAGAACTGCACTTGGCATCTTGCCTGTGCAATAAAATGGTAAATACTCAATAAATAGATAAATGGATATATTCAATAATCATATGGATTTTTCCAAGGAAAATGAAGTAACTATCTTGAGTCCACCTAAAGAAAGGCAAACATGAAAGATAACAAAAGGCTGCTGAATGATTGCATTTAACTGTCTTCCTTGCTGGAATTCAACCATGACAAAAGTATAAGCACAAGGGTCCTAAAGTATATGGCATGCCATGTCACTTTCACATATACCACCTTTGAGAGCTCATCACTCTTTCCTAAATTAATTTCAAGCTATTATCCTGGTATCAAGACCATTTCCAATATGGAACCAACATACTTCCCTTTACTGTATTGGATTTGACAGCTCACAGAAACCCTGTTAACTCCCACCTTTGCTCTCCTCTCTCCATCAGATAGTGTGCCTCCCATTCCCATGCAAATGAACAGATCCTATGCATCTATCAAGAGCTGCCTCAAATGTCACCTCTTTCAAAAAACCTTTCTGACTTTACCCAACAAGACAGAGCCTCACCCTCCACAACTTCATTAGCATTTTCCTAATGGCTGTCACTTGTCTCCATCCACTTCCTGGACCTCATGCTTCTATAGGTCAGAAGGTGTATTTTAATTTTCTTCATCCATATATGTGCCTTGTTCCAGCAGACAATAAATATGTAATTAATTCGAGTGAAACAAACTTCTCTATTGGTTCAGAATGATAACCTTTAATGCCACAAGGTCTGAACCTTATGTCAAAAAGGAAAATCTAGGGGTAAAAGAGAATGCATATACTTTTTTTTTTTTTAAAGATTTTATTTATTTATTCATGAGAGACAGAGAGAGAGAGAGGCAGAGGGAGAAGCAGGCTCCCAAGGAGCAGGGAGCCCGATGCGGGGCTCGATCCCAGGACCCTGGGACCATGACCTGAGCCGAAGGCAGACGCTTAACCATCTGAGCCACCCAGGCGCCCCGCATATACTTTTTTTAAAAAGATTTTATTTATTTGAGAGAGAGAGCAGGGGGAGGGGCAGAGGGAGAGGGAGACAAGCAGAGCCCCATGAAGGACTCTATCTCACGACCCTGAGATCATGACCTGAGCCAAAACCAAGAGTTCAGATGCTTAACCGCGATGAGCCACCCAGGCACCCTGACAGTGCATATACTTTAAATACAGTTCCCATACAGTTATCAGAAGAGAACACAGACAACATACTTAATTTTTTTAGTGGTAAGCAGATACACACATATCAAGACTACAATATAAAGCCACAAATTTTCACAAATGTCCCGTGCTTAAAGACAGTGCTGAGATAGATGCCCCCAAGACAATCCTACCACACTGTTTGGAGGACTATCATGATACATAAAAGGAAAAAGGTGTGACAATTTAGAGAAGCCAGCTTAGTCAGACATCTGTGCAATATCATCTGCCTCAGTCTGACCAAAAATCTCCAACATCTCACCGTCAGGTAATTTTAACCTTGTCACATTGCCTAAGAGTCTATTAACTGCCGGTTTATGTAAGCAAAAACATATCGCCTATTTAAATATACATTTTCTTTCCAGCAATGGTGAATTAGATCTTTTCAGACCAATCTTCCCACTGAGTAAAACCACGTAAAACATGAAAAGCCTCAGTTCTTAGCTTCAAAAAAGTACATAAAACTTTTTTTTTGTCTGGGGAAAACAGTGGAATAGGAGGACCCTAAGCTCACCTCTTCCCACGGACACAACTATATAACAACCACATCAGTTTATATAAGCCAGAAAATGACTTGAAGACTGGCAGAACAAACACTCCACAGCTAAATGAAGAGAAGAGGCCACAATGAAGAGGGTAGGAAGGGCTGAGATGCAGGGATCCTCAGGACTTCCCAAGGAGGAGAGACAATACTGGCACAGGGAGGGGAGAGAAACAGACTCTCACACCGGGGAACCCACACAGGAAAGATGAATCCCCATAATATTTGGTTTTGAAAACCAGAAGGGCTGAATTTCACAGGTTTTTACAGGCACCGGTACTTAAAACATGTAACTTTAAAAATCTGCGGGCTTGGCTCTGGGAGACCCAGGAGGGCAAGATGAAACTGAGTTTCTACCCTTAAAGAGACTGCACAAGAAAAAGCTCCACTGAGATACAGCATAGAAGTAGCAGTTTGAAAAATGCCTGGGGTATATGGGAGGAAGATTTGTTTACTAATCTCAGAGCATGTGCCGGGGACTGGGGGCAAGAATCCATGAGAGACTTGTCTAGGAATCAAGGAGCTGGCCTACACTATTTCCCTGCCCCACCCCCCAGCGTAAACACATGCCACCAGCTGAAAGCAGCATACCACCTACACTTCTACCTAACTTGATAACAGTGTGCCCTACCTGTGTGTTCCCCTGTAGACACACCCCCTCAAGCCAGGCCTCAGCTCAATGTCTCCTCCCACTGAAGAACCGTGCAAGCCTTGCTAACACCCCACATCTGACACCACAGGCTTCTGCAGATCAAGCCCCTCCAATATACTCTTGGTCTGAGCCCATCCAAAGTGTGCCACAAGGCTGGCAGTATGCAGGCAGCCCTGATGGACCAGCACCACTCCAAAGCGATGCCTGCTCCAGGGAGAGGGAAAGAGAACCACACACACCAGTCAGACTGAACCCCAGCAGTGGGCTCTTCCCACCTACCAGACAGATAGCTGATCTGACGGCAGGTCCCACCCACCCACAAAAGCTTTCCAGAAGACAAAACAGGGAAAGCAACCTGCACCTCAGTGCTACTGCATCCACGGCAAATGCCAGGTCTGACACAACTCAAGCCCAAGGCAGCCCCAGACCAACCTACTAACATCACAGGGACCAAACCCTGCCCATAATAGGCTAAGAGGGCCATTGCAGATGACAATAGAAGAAAAAAGTGGCTCAGCCACAACAACAGAGTGCACACAGCACACATAGGAGACATCCAGTTCTGGTGAATAAGGAACATTGCACTACAGGGCACTATAGGACCTCTTCTTCATAAGGCCACTACTTTCAAGAGCAGGAGATGTAGCTGACTTTCCTTACACATGGAAATAGACACAAAGAGTTAGACAAAATGAGACAGAGGAATATGTCCCAGATGAAAGAACAGGACAAAATCACAGCAAGATACCTAAGTGAAATGGAGATAAGTAAAATGCTCTTGAGGTAAGAGTGGAGGGCTCGGTAAGAACCTTAACAAAGAGATAGAAAACATAAAAAAGAACCAACCAGAAATGAAGAATTCAATAAATGAAATTAAAAATACACTAGATGGAATAAATAGTTGGCTAGAGAAAGCAGAAAAAAAGATCAGGGACCTGGAGAACAGAGTAATGGAAAAAATCAATCTGAACATGTGAGAGAAAAAATAATAATACAAAATGAAAACAGACTTAGGGAACTCATCTACACAACCAAGTATAATACATTTACATTATAGGGATCCCAGGAGAAGAAAGAGAAAAGGGGGCAGAAAATGTATTTGAAGAAGAGCTGAAAACTTCTTCAGACTGGACAAGGAAACAGAAATCCAGATCCAAGAGGCACAGAGAGCCCCCAACAAAATTGACCCAAGGAGATCCCTACAAAACCACATAATAAATAAAATGGCAAAAACTAGTGATAAAGAGAAAATTTTAGAAGCAGCAAGAGAAAAGAGAACAGTTACATACTAGGGTAACCCCATAAAGCTATCAGTGGATTCTTCATCAGAAACTTTTAGCAGGCCGGAAGAGAGTGGCATGATATATTCAGAGTGCTGAAAGAAAAAACCTGCAGCCAAGAATTCTGTATCCAGCAAGGCTATAATTCAGAATAGAAAGAGAAATAAAATTTTCCAGAAAAACTAAAGGTAAAGGAATTCATGACCACTAAACCAGCCCTACAGGAAATGTTAAAGGAGACTCTGAGTGGGTAGGAACAACCATAAGTAGGAGCAAGAAAAGTAGGAAGCACAAAAGCAGTGAAATTAAGTATACCTATAAAAATCAGTCAAGGGACTCAAAATAAAAGGATGTAAAGTATGACACCATAGGGGCACCTGGGTGGCTCAGTCGTTAAGCGTCTGCCTTCGTCTCAGCTCCTGGTCCCAGTGTCCTGGGATCGAGCCCCACATCAGGCTCTCTGCTCTGCGGGAAGCCTGCTTCCCCCTCTCCTACTCCCCCTGCTTGTGTTCCTGCTCTCGCTGTCTCTCTCTCTGTCAAATAAATAAATAAAATCTTAAAAAAAAAAAAATGACACCATATACCTAAAATGTGGGAGGGAAAGGAGTAAAGAATGGGTTCAAACTTAAATGGCCCTCATCTTTATATATAGACTGCTATATGCAGATGTTATATACAAACTGAATAGGAACCACAAATCAAATATCAGTAATATATATGCAAAAAAATAAAAGAGAAAGGATCCAAGATCATCACTAAAGAAAGTCAACTAACCGTGAAAGACAAGAGCAAGAGAAGAAAGGAAAAAGAGAAGATCCACAAAAACAGCCATAAAACAAGTAACAAAATGGCAATAGTTGCATACCTATCAATAATACTTTGAATGTAAATGAACTACATGCTCCAATCAAAAGACATAGGGTGACAGAATGGATAAAAAAGCAAGACCCATCTATATACCACCTACAAGAGACCCATTTTAGACCTAAAGACACATGCAGTTTCAAAGTGAAGAAATGGAGAATTTATCATGCAAATAGATGTGAAAATAAAGCCAGGGTAGCAATACTTATATCAGACACCATAGACATTAAAACAAAGACTGTTAACAAGAGACAAAGAAATACATATACACCCTAATATTAGAATATATATATTATATACTAGAAAATATAACAATTGTAAATATTCATGCAGTTAATAACAAACATAAAGGAAGTAATTGATAGTAATACAGTAATAATAGGGGACTTCAATACCCCAATTACATCAATGGGTAGATCATCCAAACAGAAAATCAACAAGGAAACAGTTGTCTTTGAATGACACATTGGACCAGACGGATCTAACAGATATATTCAGAACATTCCATCCTTAAAAGACAGAATACACATTCTTTTCAAGTGCACATGGAACATTCTCCAGAACAGATCACATATTAGGTCACAAAACAAGTCTCAATAAATTCAAAAAGACTGAAGTCATACTATGTATCTTTTCTGAGCACAACACCATGAAACTAGAAATCAACCACAAGAAAACATCTAGAAAGACCACAAATACATGGAGATTAAATAATGAGCTACTAAATGATGAATGGTGCAATCAAGAAATCAAAGAGAAAATCAAAAAATACATGGAGACAAATGAAAATGCAACACAATGGTCCAAAATCTTTGGGATGCAACAAAAGCTGTTTTAAGAGGAGAGTATATAGCAATACAGGCCTACTTCGAGAATCAAAAAAAATCTCAAACATAGGGGCGCCTGGGTGGCTCAGTCATTAAGCGTCTGCCTTCGGCTCAGGTCATGATCCCAGGGTCCTGGGATTGAGCCCCGCATCGGGCTCCCTGCTCGGCGAGAAGCCTGCTTCTCCCTCTCCCACTCCCCCTGCTTGTGCTCCTGCTCTCGCTATCTCTCTCTCTGTCAAATAAATAAATAAAATATTAAAAAAAAAAAATCTCAAACATAGAAAAAAGAAAAATAAATAAGACCCAAAGCCAGTAGAAGGAAGGAAATAATAAATATTAGAGCAGATATAAACAAAATAGAAATAAAACAAAACAATAAAACAGAGCAATGAAACTAGGAGCTGGTTCTTTGAAAACATCAACAAAATTGATAAACCTTTAACCAGACTTATCCAGAAAGAGAGAGAGAGAGAAACAGAGAGGACTCAAACAAAATCAGAAAAGAAAGAGGAGAAATAACAACCAACACCACAAAAATACAAATAATTGTAAAAGAATATAATGAAAAATTATATGCCAACAAATTGGACAACCTAGAAGAAATGGATAAATTCCTAGGAACATATAACCTCTCAATACTGAATCAGGAAGCAACAGAAAATTTGAACAGACCAATTGCCAGCAATGAAATTAAGTAAGTAATCAAAAAACTCCCAACAAACTAAAGTCCAGGACAAGATAGCTTCACAGGTGAATTCTACCAAACATTTAAAGAAGAGTTAATACCTACTTCTCTCAAATTATTCCAAAAAATAAAAGAGGAAGGATAGCTTCTAAATTGATCCTGTGAGGCCAGCATTACCCTGATAACAAAACCAGATAAAGACACTACAAAAAAAAAAAAAGAGAGAGAGAGAGAGAGAACTACAGGCCAATATCTCTAATGACAATAGATGCAAAAATCCTCAACAAAATGTTTATTGCAGCATTATTTACAGTAGCCAAATCATGGAAGCAGCCCAAGTGTTCAGCAATAGATGAGTGGATAAGGATGTGGTGTAATACATACATACACACACATACACACACACACACAATGGAATATTACTCAGCCATAAAAAAGAATGGAATCTTGTCATTTGCAACAACATGAATGGAGTTACCGAGTATATACTGCTAAGCAAAATAAGTCAGAGAAAGACAAATACCATATGATTTTCCTATGTGGAATTAAAGAAACAAAACAAAGGAACAAAGGAAAAAAAGAGACAAACCAAAAAACAGACTCTTAACTATAGAGAAAAACAGATGGTTACCAGAGGGGAAGTGGGGGATGTGTGAAATAGGTGATGGGGATTAAGGGTACACTTTGCATGACGAGCACTGAGTAATGTATAAGACTGTTGAACAATATATACAATATAGTGATATTGTATACCTGAAACTACTATAACATCATATGTTAACTATACTGGAATTAAAATTTAAAAAAAATTTTTTAAGGTAGATAAGACTTGCTGCACCATAATTCTGGGGAAGAAAGCCCAAAGAGATGAGTCTGGCATTTGGCATGACTTTTCGTGGGTGTAGCAGGAATAGAACCCAGAGTAACCACAGCCTCCAAAATGTGAGTGGAAAATGCCAGAAATGGCAGATTCAGAAAAAGTGAAGCCCAACTTTCATGTGAACTCTGTTCAAGTCTCTGGATAAGCCCCAAACTGAGTGTGTGTAGGTAAGCAACCCAGGTAAAGATGAAAGAGCTGAACTTTTATTTGAGCTACCCCCACCTCAGGTGAGACAAAGTTTTCAATTTAAGTCTAACCAATGAATTCTCTGCTAAACAAACAAACAAACAAAAAATCAGTACTTTTCAGGAAAATGTAACAATCCAGAATCTCCACAGCATAACTATTCACATCATCCAGGATACAACCCCAAATTACTCAACTGGAAAACCAGAAAACTATGACCTGACCCATTTTCAAGGGAAAAGACAATAAAGTTCAACCACAAGCTGACATAGAATTTTGGAAATATGATGCAAAGACTAAAAAGTAGCTTTTCTAACTCTGTCTATATGATAAAAAACAGTATACTCATAATGTATGAAAAGACAGAAATTCTCAGCACAGAAACAGAAGAGTATGCTTAAGATAAATACTGAAGTAAGAATGCTTATCTTTGGCAAATGAATGGAATTTAGATAACACAGTATTTCAGTAGTCAATCACTGATTACAATGAAAAATACATGACCACAACAAAAGCTGTCACTTCACTAAGCATTAGTGACAAACAGCCAATAAAATTTTCTGCATTTCTCATTTTTCAAATCTGTTCATCACAGCACAGTAAGAATGTTCTAGCATGAATTGACCTAGACAGCAGGAAGAGTAAAAAAAAGGAAATCTTACCTCACATGTCATGAACATTCTTAATAAAATATGCATAATGAGAGATAAATCTAATTGTAGTTAATCATGAAGGCAGTTATATAATTATATTCCCCATAAGACAAGTAAGCAGAATATATAAAAGAGCATCTATAAATACTTTTGAGGGAGGGCTGGCATTTCATTTTACAACCGATTTCTTAGGTATAGAAGACCAGAACATTCCTAAGATCCCTCCACAGTTCTATTTAAAGCCACAAATTTATTGTGGATGCTACCAGTCAGCTTACCATTTCTTCAACATAAGGGTAAAGCATGTCTCCAAAGTATTCTGTAGCTTCAATTGGAAGCTGTGCTGGCAAATTGTCAATGGAACACATCAGAATCCCAGAGCCTTCAACACTAGGAGAAGCAATATGCTTTATTCAGCTGTATAAAATGCTATTCGTAAGCTCTAACTTTCCCAGGCATCTACTCCATTATATCTGTTCCAAAATAATTTATAATTGTGTACCAAAGTATAAAAGAAAATAAATAAGACTTCAAACAAAACTTCCCTTCTTTAGCAACCCATCTCCCATTTAAATATAATAATCATGTATTTAAGTGTTTGAATTTGCATGTCATTTTTCTACCAAATTTTTAAATATGGTTGAGCATATCTCTGGATATTTGCATATCCTTCATAAAAATGTGAAACAGTAAATATTTTACACTAGTATATCAAGCAAACTCACCTGTCATGAATAATATGCTGGTCTGCATCATACATACAAAAGGGATGTTCTATTGTCGTACACTCGGTCATAAACTCTATTGATCCTCCTGTGTCAGCTGAAATGTCACATATTGCTACAAGCCTGAAAATAACATTGATACTCAGATGAGAGCATGGAACTTCTAAACAAGATTAAAAATGAATAAAAATGAAAGGTACTTGAGGGCGCCTGGGTGGCTCAGTTGGTTAAGCGACTGCCTTTGGCTCAGGTCATGATCCTGGAGTCCCGGGATCAAGTCCCGCATCGGGCTCCCTGCTCAGCAGGGAGTCTGCTTCTCCCTCTCCCGCTCCCCCTCTCGTGCTCTTTCTCTCTCTCATTCTCTCTCTCAAATAAATAAATAAAATCTTTAAAAAAAAAAAAAAGAAAGGTACTTGAACAACTTTCAGTGTGGGTGCCAATTATTTCCTGGGCTCTTCAGCTCTTTTTCCTACAGTTCACTGTTCAGGACACTGTGTTCTTCTAGGACATAGACAATCAATCTTCCCACTACAAGCTTTAGTCTCCACACACAAAAGTAAGAAGAAAAAGAAGAGGAGGAGGAGGAGAAAAAAGGAAATCAAAGTGGAAAACCCCTTCCCTAGAGAAATCATAAGAAACAGCCTAGTTAAAGTTAACCTATTTAGCCAACTCTAAATAACTTACGAAGGTTTGATTGCACTACCTCCACCCTGCTGAGTGGCACCAGGTTTATTCTGAGAGGGACTCTGTATGACTGATGACTACAGAACACACAAAGACATCGTTCTTCATATAAAGTGAGGCCAGTGTGTCCCATCAGGAGGTTTGGAATTGTAGGTAGCTTTTTGTCCAGCGGGGACAGGTCTGTGCTTACCTAGCCACTACATAATTTCACATGTTAATACAGGGAAATCTCTAGAATTATGAACAGAAATCTCAGCCCAGCTTTTGAAATCCTCTAGGGGTTGACCAAAAATTTCCTGCCCAACCTCCAACTACCATTTGACTTTGTCAACCCTGCACTAGAGCTACACTGCTCACTCGCTGCGTTGTTAAATCGTGTCTTGGTGGTTCCATATTTATCAAGTACCAGTCCCACCACTTGAAATTCTCTTTCTCCTCAGTCTTCCTTTTCAAGGCGTTGCTGAGCCCAATGTTCCTGTTTTCTTTTAAATTCTTGTGCTATTTATTGCTCCTAGCATTCCTTTGGCATTTACTTCATGCCAGCTACATGCCTGAGGGTAGTAATCATATTTTTTCTCTATGCTTCAGCTTAGCAGAGTGCCAGGCAGAGGAGGTGTTAACAAATATTTATTGATTATGTAATTCAACATTTAATAATTATTTAATACAAATTGTATGTCAGGCAATGTATTGGGTACTTGTCGCCAAGACAAATAGGACCCCTATCCTTAAGGAGATTAAATTTTAATGGGAGGGAGAAAAATCATAAACACAGGAAAATAAATGATCATGAATTTCAGGAGGAAAAAAAAGTAACAGACTAGAGAGAGATGGGGATGGGAACACAGAAGATCTTTCTGAGGAGGTTACCTTTGAGCTTCATGTAGAGTTAATAGAAGAGAGTTTCAAGAAGGAAGGAAGGTTAACTGTCAAATGCTGCCAAAAGATCAAGTGAGATAAAGCAGACCACCAGTCATTAGCAGTCAAGTCCCATGATATGTGAATAGATGATACCCTAAGAGTGGGCCCTGTTGCTGAAAACTGCCATCATTACTGAAGTAAAGTCCTTACTTGTGTGGTAATGCAGGGCAGCCTTCCACACCAGCAACAGAGGACCTGCCTGGGACCAAGAGACTCTGGACATCTTGGCGAGTTAGTAGACGAGGGGTGTTTTGTTCCCAGTAGATTCCATTAATTAAACAAGTTGTATAGGGTGCAATCTGTAAAGTAAGTGCCCAGTTCAACAAGATAGGCAATAGCAAATTTCAATGCAGTAGGCTGAAAGAGAGCTATCAGTAAAGTTCGTAAGAAATAATTTAATGTTACTTCGAATGGACTTTATTATTTGCCATGTCAGTGGTCATTTTGTGAGGTGAAGACAATAAATACTCACCCAGATTTCAGTGCAGAATTGCTCCATGATAGAGAAGTATATGAACATAAATATATTAATATTTCTGTTTTCTAATGTACTGCATGGCCAAGAAAAGGGAAAGGACAGAATCAAGTGACCTACCACTCTATTTCCAGCTCAACCGCCAGTAGGGTGATCTACATCATGCTACCTCAACTTCTCTGGGCTCTATTTTCCTTACCTGCCAGATGGGGATAATATGTACCCCATTCCTCAAAGGAATGCTGTGAAGATTAAATCAGATAACATCTGTAAGCTCCACGGACAAATGCGCTACATACATGCACACGTGGTAACTAGGTCATTATAAATTTTAGGATGCATCCAATCACCAATATTTCTGTGATTGGGGGAAAGAGAAGGGATGGAAATTTACTATATTTTTTTCAGTCTGAAACTAGTTTCATAATTTTTGCTTCACAAGCAACTCAAGCATTCTCAAGCTACAGGTAAAAGTCCTTCTCTACAACATGCTCTACATGCCATAACAGCTATATTTCATACCAGCTATATTTCAATCTTATTGTTCAAACATATTTAAAATTTAAAACATTCCTTTTCATAATAAATGCATGCACTTTGTGTTTATTTTTTGGTTTGTTGGTGTATTTTGAGGAGAACTTTGCAGTGACTCCTACAGAACACATAAATACATTGTTCTTCTTAAAAGATAAGGCCAGTGTGTCCCCATCAGAAGGTTCTGAATTATAGGTAACTTTCTGTACAGTGGGGACGGGTCTGTGCTTACGTAGCTGTGTGTTTCACCCTAGTCCCCCATCATCAATGTCATGCATTCCAAGACAGCTGGCTGAGGTTATGACTGCAATTTGTGGCCATAGAACCCTAGGTTGAGATGAAACCTCATAGACACTGGGCTTTGCTAATAGTACTAATTGGTCCAGGATAAATACAGAAAAAAGTACTCCACAGGACATCGTTTAGAGTTATTGGGCACATGCAGACCCGAAGCAGAAACAGAGGCAGTGAAGCAAAGGGCATATCCACCAAAACCACTAAGCAAAGGCCACTCCAAACATCAGTAAAAGCCAACAACTCCTAAGGCCAACCCAAAGGATTCACAAGTCAATATGGGGAACTGAAAACCAATGTATACAGTTATAACCTCTCTCCTTGAAAACAGCCTAACTATAGTGTATTAGGAGCAACCAGCTCAGAAGCTGAGTGTGATACTCACATCAGTATTAAAACGACTTATGTAGCGCTCAGGATATTTGTCATACTCTACAGGATCATACACACCATCTGTTTTCCTGACAAGATGATGATGGCGACTTAACACCGTCCCATACACTTTTCTCAGGTCTTGCAGAGGAGAAAGAAATTAGTAAAGTAGGTGACAAATGATAAAGATTTATGGTGATAAAATATTATAACACAGAAACTGTTAAAAACAGTTAAAAGATACATACAGTCATCCCCCTCCCCCTTACCTCCATTTTGGGAAACTTCTTTTAATTCATGTGGTTCCACATATTCACAAGGTAACTCATTGAAGATTTCTTGGGCTCCCTGTAAATAATGCATGAGTAAAAATCTAAAAATCAATAGGAAAAAAGCCAACAAGGTTTTCTGCAACAATTCCAATTCACTTTCCCCACAATTATTAGCTCCACTTATCCGGCCCAGCGACGAGGCCTGCAACACAGAAGTATAGATACACTTCTCGCACACAGTCTACAAATCAGCTTTTATTCTTGTATGAACAGCATTCGTTGGAAGGAGCTTTAATTTTTTTTACTTAAGTTACTCAGAGTAGACACAAGGGTGTTTAAAAATGAGAGCACAATAAAATATTTCTATTTACTTTTTGCTCCGTTGCAGAATTATTTCAAGTGGGGAAATTGTATTTCCCATGAAAAAAAATTAGATGCCTATCTCACAGTATAATACAAATAGTGAGGTCCTGTTTGTAAAGTATTTTCATTGAGTGAAGATCTATTTTACAATTATAAATTTCTCTGGGGGATCACAAATGCCTTCTCAAAACCATCCCAGAAGAAAGAAAGTAAGAATTCCAGTCCTGAATTAAGCTTCCTAAAATCTTATTGGCAAAACTTCAAATCACTTTAAAAAATTTACATCCTGTGCTCAATTCCAAACTTTTGGACATCTCAGTGATGGAGGTAAAACAGATCACCCTAAGAACAGACCTTTATACCATTAACAATGATTTATCCCTTTAAAAAGAAAAAGTGTTCAAAGACTCTGACAGCTTGGAGTCAACTGAAAGCAAAGAAAATACGTCTGGATCATTACTGCTCTATACTGTGGGGAAAGTTACATAGGTAAGAAAAGTACCAAAAATTTTGAACGCCCACTCATCCAGAAGCAAGGCTCGGAAATGACCACAAAATGTTCGCATTCCTTGGGTTAGTTTCAGGGTTTTGATTGCTTTACAGAAAGTGGACTTTCTTGGAAGTATCTAAGAAGTTACCTTAGATACATTACCAGTCCCTGTGAACACAAATGTTAAAGGCCCTATCGACTTTGGCATCAATCCCAGAGATACTTCATAGCCAGCATCGCGGACAGCTTGCACAGCCTGGCCACTGTTCCTGTAGTTATGAGCCATGCCAATGTGCTGAAAGCAAGCATACAGGAATTCAAGTTAGTTGACCACCTGAGACACTTTCCTGATACGTATTTTCAAAAAAATAAACAAAATACACATCTCACCATAAAAGGTGTGTGATGTCCCAAAGCAAGGAGCCTTAACCCCATTCCATGCAAAATGTTGATCATCCCTATTGCAGAATCAGACCAACAGAAAAGCCATTAGTCAGGAGTTGAAGCTGTTCTCTCTGACCATTCTCCAACCTGCTCCGTGCTCTGACGAAGCACAGATCACAGCATCTCAGATTTGGAAGGGACCCCAGGGGTCGCCTTATCCATCCCCTCAATTTTCTGCCATCAAAAGCACTAACCCAGCTGGCATCCCTACCTATTCCCTTCCACTTTCAATCCTGCCAAAATGAAAAGAGTGTCCCTCTTCTTTTCTGAGGTTATTCTATCTTTGCTCCAAATCCCATCCCTTCCCATTCCTTCTCTAAGGAATTCACTTTTGAAATTATTCCTTTCACTATCCCTCCCTATTGGCTCACTCTTATCAACATTTAAAGACACTTACATTCCTCTCAAACCAAAACTAATGAACAAACAAATACAAGGTCAGCATTGACCTTATGAGTGCCATCAGCAATTTTAGTGACCTAAATAGCTAAACTCAGTGAACAACTGTCAGATCTTACCTGTCAGAGGTATTTGGCAACGTGGACTCTCTCTCTACTGGAACCCTCTTCCCTCAGCATCCCTGACTTAAAAATTTTCATCCCACATTTCTCTAGGTGCCTCTTCCCATGCCCATTTCTTTTAAATTAGTGTCCTCTCCCCTTCCCTTAAGGTCTTCTTTTAAATTAATTAGCATCAGGATTCTGTCCAGGGCCCTAGTCTCTTCGATCTCTAAATTTTTTTTTCCTTAGCTAATTTTATCCAGTCCTAAATTTCAAGTATTCCGTATATGCTGATGCCCCCAAGTCTGTATCTCTAACACAGATATTTTATTTCAAGACCTGACCAACTACCTTATGGGTTTCTCAATTTGGACTCAAATAGCGAAAACTCAGCATACCCATAGCAAAGACCTCAGCATCCATTCTCCTCTTCCTTTTTCCTTCTCTGTATCCCTTCCAAACATTCTTTGATCTTTTTTCTGAAGTCAACTTTTAAAAGTGTAATTTATATTCAATAAAATGCACCAATTTAAAGTGTACCGTTTGATAACTGAACATACGTATGCACCCATATTACCACCAACATAATCGAGATACAGAGTATTTCCATCACCCCAGTCAATCCTCCCCACTCCTTTGCCCCAGAACTAACTACTGGTCTTATTTTTCTCTGTATAGAGTAGTTAATTCTACAGTTTCATATAAATGAAATTGTAAGTATATACTCTCTTGTGTGTCTGCTTTCACTCAGCATGTTTTTGAGATTCATACATAATTCAGTGTAGTTTCAGTAGTTTACTTCTTTTTATTGACAAGGAGTTTCCATTTTATGGGTATATCGCAACTTATTTATCCATTCTTCAGCTGATGGACATTTGGACTGTTTCTACGCTATTATGAATGAAGCTACTAGAAATAAGTCTTTATAAAAAATAATTCATTTCTCTTGATAAATGCCTATGAGTGGAATTTCTTTTTTTTTTTTTTTAAGATTTTATTTTTTATTTGACACAGAGAGAGAGACAGCGAGAGAGGGAACGCAAGCAGGGGGAGTGGGAGACGGAGAAGCAGGCCTCCCACAGAGCAGGGAGCCCTATGCGGGGCTCGATCCCAGGACCCTGGGATCATGACCTGAGCCGAAGGCAGACGCTTAACGACTGAGCCACCCAGGTGCCCCATGAGTAGAATTTCTTATGTACATTGATATTCAAGTTTTTTATTTCTTGAGTTGGTTGTGGTAATTTTTGTCTTTTAAGGATTTGTCTATTTGATCAACATTGTCAAATTTATTGGCCTATTCATAATACTTTCTTTCCCTTTTAATGTCTATATGAAATACAGTCATGACCCCTCATGTATTCCTAATACTGGTAAATTGTGGCTTCTCTCTTTTTCTAATCAGTCTAACTGGAGGCCTATCGATTTTACTGATTTGCTTAAAAACTAGCTTCTGAGTTCATTGATTTTCCCTCTTTATTACTCTTTTCCTTGTATTTGCTTTGCATTTAATTACTTCTTCATTTTCTTGCTTTGTAAGATAGAAGTTTAGATCACTAATTTAGACTTTCTTCTTTTCTAATAAAAGCATTAAATGCTATAAATTTCCTTCTAAGTAACCACCTTATCTGCACCCCATAAATTCTGGTATGCTGTTTTAAATTTTCATTCAATTCGAAGTATTTACTAATTTTTCCTGTGATTCCTTCTTGACTCATGGGTTTTTCAAAAATACATTATCTTCCAAATATCTGGACATTTTCTAGATATCTTTCTATTATTATTTCAACATCAACTTTATTATAGTTAGAGCACATACTCTATGATTTCAAACATTTTATGTTTATTAAGAACTGTTTTGTTCTTGTGGGCCATCTGGGCGAGTGCTCAATAACCATCAATTGCATCAGGGTGGCCGATGGTGTCTTACTGTTCTATATCCCCACAAATTTTCTACTTGTCCCAACAATTACAGACCTTTAAGTACTCTAATCTGATGTAGAGCTCTAATATAAAAGTGGTGCTTCTTCAACCAAGGAAGTTTTCAAAGTACTAACTGGGACAAAAATCAAGTGGAGTTTTCCCCCAATTCCAGCTCTAATCCTTTCTAGACTGCTCCTCTCTTGGTTCCCATCCCTGTATCTTTTCCCTCTCTTTCCCCCTTTATTCTTCTCCACAATTTCTCATCACCAAACTGACCTCTCCTAGTCTTCCAGACAGAACTACCTAAAAAGTCAGAACCTACTCATAGTTGTTCTCCTTTTTCCTGCTTTCTTTTTCTTTTTAACTTTTGTAATAAAGATGTGTAATGATTTACCTTATTTTATTCCCCTAATATTCATCACCCTTAGCTGTACCCCCATGTTTATTTTTTTAGTGGAAATGAACACTTCCATGCCCTTGCCACAGAAAAAAAAGAAAACACAGTTACTTCCCAGGCAAATTTAGAAAGTGGGTGATGTAAAAACCCTGGCATACCTACCTGCCACACCTGCCCACTGTCCAAATGCTACTACCCGTGTTCCTCTATGATCCACCATTTTCTCGTAATCAATAAGTCGGATTTCCTGAAGAAAGGATAAAAATTTCCACCCAGACCCATTAAGCTTAATTTCAATGAGTAGACCACATATATGAGCAAATAAATATTTCACATTTCTTCCTCTTATAAAATATATCTTGACCTGACTTTGTAAGTTACCATCAGGTGCACCATGAAATATTTAGAAAATGCTGGGTCACAAACCAATGATAGGTTTTGATTAGAGATGGTCCTAGCAGGGTGACAAATGCCCCTTGATGGTAGTCAATAAAATAGCAAAGACATGATCTCCTTTAACTTTTAGGCCAGCACCACCTACATACATATCTATAGTCCCACTCACCCCCACATCCTTCCTTCTAGTCTCAAAGAAAACAAGTCCCTGCCAAGGCTAATCCCTGTGAGCTGGATCCCAGCTTTTTCCCATGTCTTCCAAGACCACTCTTGAACTTTTTCTTTCCTGCATTATCCCTTTGTACACTGCTCCTTCCTACCTTAAAAATGACAACACCCCCTCTCAAGTCCATACACACAAATCTATTTCATTTTCTCTCTCTCCCTTCCTCCTTTCCTTTTTCTCTCCATCCTTTTACAAGTAAGCTTCATTTACAAAGTAACACATGCTGCCTGCTTTTCACTTTCTCACCTTCACTGAAACCACATTCTTCCTCTATCTTTGGGAATCTTCCCTCTCAGGAATAAGTCTTATTAACTCATGCTTAAAAGCTATTGATACACTGTAATTATAGAATGTTTTAAAGTCATTTTATTTCCGCAAAGATCATGATTTTTACCATGTGCCTGAATTTAAGAATGTTTAATAGTCATCCAACTCTAACTGGTTACAAAATACTGCCAAAAAGCAGCCATGCCCATTCTGTTTTTGTTAATTCTCTTGTAATGAACAAAAATCCGTAACAAAGAAAATGCTTCTAAAGTACTTTTAAAGGAATTTATCTGCTTAAGGTGCAATCTTTTTCTTACATTATTTCCATTAGTTACTTTTTGAATTTGCTTTTCAAAACCACTGGGAATTCACTAGGCCAGGTCTAGCATATTTGAAATGAGTAGGAATGTATTCTATAGGCCTGTACAGAACACATTTTCTTCCAGTGCTTTTACTGTTTGTGAAGTCTCCGGTTCTCTGCCTATTCTCAGATTCTAGTCTAGTTCCTAATGCTCTTATCTAGCATTCGTACCCCAGGGCTTGGACCTTGGACTTCTCTATCTATACTCACTGCCTACCCTCATCCAGTTTCATGGTTGTAGATGCCATCAAGTCTCTGACAACTACAAATACGTATCAGGAGGAGCCGCCCTGAGCCTTGAACTCATTATCAATGGCTCCCTCCTTAAAATCTAATGTCTAAAGTCTGCAATCTGCTTAAATGTCTAATTGACAAGTTAAACTCAACAGGCCCCAAACTCAACTCCTGATCCTCCCATCCAAGCCTGCTCCCTCTTGCAGTACCATCATCTCAGTTTGCGGCAACTCCTTCAAATTGCTCAGGCCAAAACCTTGGATTCCTCTCATTCCACTCTTGCTCTCATATTCCACATTCGTCTCACGAGTAACTTCTGCAGGATTAGACCTCTAAAATCCATCCAATATTGGGTCTATGCATCACCACCTCTGCTTCCACCGGCCTTGTGCGAGCCACTGTCATTTGGAACCTGGGGTCCATACTAGTCTAAACTAACAATCTTATCAATTTTCTCCTCCCATCTCCAATATTATCCACACAGCAGGCTGAAGAAGCACTTCAGAACATGACTGACACTAACCCTCCACTCAGCCAGACCCACGGGACTTTGTGCTACTATGCTCTCTGCTTGGAAGACTCCTCCTCGATGGATATGACTTGATCCTTCACATTACTTCAAATTTTTGCTCAATGCCCAATCTGCAATGAGGCTCTCCCTGATCATCCTATTTAAACTACTGTCACCACCCACAGTGCCCAGAACCCCTTTTTTCCCTTCTGTATCATATTTATGTCCATCACACATATCTCTAAGTGACAGATATCTTATTTATATATTTATCATCTGTCTCCTCCCACTAGAATGTAAGCTCTGTGAAGACAGTTACTTTATTACCATTGCAGTGAAGAGGGTCAGACACATTGCAGACACTCAGTAAATATTTGTTGAATGAATACTCTGTATTTTAAACAGCTGATAGATTTTGTATAGTATTTATAACTCAAAAAATGATTTCTTCCCTCATGAATGTTAATAAATGTAAAAATAATCTCCAGTCCAGTTCTGGCACTACAGAGCTGGGCAACCTCGGTCGAGTCACTTCACCTCTCTGGGCTCCATCTGAAAAATGAGGGAGGTGGATTATATGATCCCTGAGGTTCTTTTTAGCTCTCAATTCTACTTGGGAATATCTGAGCAATTGGCCTCATAAAAGTGCTAATCGTTTGGGGAGAAATACTTCTACCATTTTTTTCCATTTCAGTACAAAAGGAATGAAATGTTTGGCTTCTCATTACAAATTCCAAACTAGCACAGCAGAGGAGCCCGAAGAGCTGCAGAACTATTCAAGCACTAACTCACAGATCACCTTTCCTATTGAGGTGAATAACATGATGTATTTCCTAGACGCTGAAAGAAAACTAAAACGCCACTTGACATTTAAAAGTTGAAAGAAAAATTGTTTCTATGTTAACATTTATGATTACTGGTCACTAATTACCTGTCTCAGAATCTCATCCAGCAAACCCATATTGGCCTCCTGAGCCTTTATTGTGTGGGAGAAGAATGCGTAAGTCTTCTTAGACATTAATTTTTCCTCTGGGGGTCTTTTAACTCCCAAAATTAGACAAGCTTCAGAAATATCCTCCTGAAGAATGCCACCAGCTTTGACATATTCCTGGGAATGCAATTTGGGTTAAAAGTTATTTCCCTAATTTGTTGATTCTTATTTTCTTTAATAAATAAGTATAGCAATTAAAGGCATAATCTTTCGGCGGCATAAAATCTGTATGGATTAGAACAAATAATAATTACTTCTAATATTTTTACTTTCTGGCTAAAGATCAATTTAACAAGTTTGACTTTATAGCAAAAAAAAAAAAGTTAGAAAATTCACCACCTACTCCTATTTAAGAGCAGTTAATAGTTTGATCATAACCACTAGCACATATGATTTAAAAATATTTGTGAAATGTGTATTTTGTATCAACAATGTACTGAAATGCTAAATGCAAAATAGTAATTTATTACTCAGGTGTATTTTTAAAAGAAAGGCATATATCTGCAATATTTACTTTGCTTTTTTTTTTTTTTTGGTTCAATTAGTATTTATTACTGCCCCATTCTGTCCAGTGGACTGTGCTAGAGATGAGATGATAAGACACTAAAAAGGCAGACAACATCCCTCCTATAAAGAAGCTCACAAGATACAGTAAAAAGAAGTCAGGAACATAGTAAGTGAGGCTGAATTCAAAAGAATTATGAACAGCAGAAGCTAAGTGATACATTAGTTTAATGGATATTGAGATAATTCCTGGGTGAGATTATCAAGGAAATATGAAACTTTAAAATAATCTAATAGGCTAGGTAGGATTTTTTAAAATTTTATTTTATTATGTTATGTTAGTCACCATTCATTACATTATTAGTTTTTGATGTAGTGTTCCATGATTCATTGTTTGCATATAACACCCAGTGCTCCATTCAATACGTGCCCTCCTTAATACCCATCACTGGGCTAACCCATTCCCCCCACCCCCCTCTCCTCTAAAACCCTCAGTTCGTTTCTCAGAGTGCTAGGTAGGATTTGCAGAGATGGAGATGTGAAATGCAAGGTGGTAATAACAGTAGAAAGTACTGAAGAAATATATACAAATATGGAGGCAGGAAAGTAAGGAGATGTTTAGGGCATAATGGATAAATCAATTTGGAAAAGTAGACTAAATATTATCATGGTGAATATGATCTTTATTGGATAAAAAATAAAAATCAACATTTATTAATAAATTAGTACTTGCTTTACTGAGCTCTTTTCAGGAATTATCTCATTCAATTTTCTTAAAACTCCCATGAAGTAGGTATTATTATTATGGCCATTTTATCAATGGGAAACCTGAGGTTTACACATTTAACTGAGATTGAATACCTAGTACATGGAGGCAATAGAAAGTCATTTCAGATTTCTAAATAAAGGGTTAGCATGATCCAGGCAGAATTAAAGGAGCATCAAAAGTAGCAGTTGAATAAAATAAGACAAATCCAGTTAGGAATCTACTTTAAAGGAAACTATAGATGGATAGACACTACAAGGATGAAAATGTGATTCATACCTGGTTTCTTTGAAAGTAATCTATTTGTCCATTTATAGTAGACTAGTTAAATAAATCACAAATGATGGAGTAATGATGATAGAGTAATTAAAACACAGCCATTAAATAGAATGAAGCAGATGTCCATGAATAGACAAGGAGTGAGTTCCAGGGTATGTTGTTGACTAAACAAAGAAGGTACAATAGAGTATGTATAGTTTACAACCTTTTATGTAAGACTAAGGGGGAACTAAGGATACACACACACACACACACACTCATTTTTACAGAAAGAAACATAGGAATAATCGATCAGAAACTAATTTCGAGATGTATCTTGAAAGAAGTTGCTGTGGCCGATGTCAAAGAGGTTACTGCCTATGTTCTCCTCTAGGATTTTGATGGATTCCTGTCTCACATTGAGGTCTTTCATCCATTTTGAGCTTATCTTTGTGTATGGTGTTAGAGAATGGTCACATATTCATTCTTCTGCATGTGGCTGTCCAATTTTCCCAGCACCATTTATTGAAGACACTTTCTTCCATTGCATATTTTTTCCTGCTTTGTCGAAGATTATTTGACGATAGAGTTGAGGGTCCATATCTGGGCTCTCTATTCTGTTCCATTGGTCTATATGTCCGTTTTTGTGGCAGTACCATACTGTTTTGATGATTACAGCTTTGTAATATAGCTTGAAATCAGGCAACGTGATGCCCCCAGCTTTGTTTTTCTTTTTCAACATTTCCTTGGCGATTCGGGGTCTTTTCTTATTCCATACAAATTTTAGGATTGCTTGTTCCAGCACTTTGAAAAATGTCATTGGAATTTTGATCGGGATGGCATTGAAGGTATAGATCGCTCTGGGTAGCAAAGACACTTTTGGGGCTTCATCAAGATAAAAAGCTTCTGCACAGCAAAGGAAAAAGTCAACAAAACAAAGAGGCAACCAACAGAATGGGAGAAGATATTTGCAAATGACACTACAGATAAAGGGTTGGTATCCAAGATCTATAAAGAACTTCTCAAACTCAACACCCAAAAAACAAATAATCAAGTCAAAAAATAGGCAGAAGACATGAACAGACACTTCTCCAAAGAAGACATACAAAAATGGCTAACAGACACATGAAAAAATGTTCATTATTAGCCATCAGAGAAATTCAAATCAAAACCACACTGAGATACCACCTTACACCAGTTAGAATGGCAAAAATTGACAAAGCAAGGAACAACAAATGTTGGAGGGGTTGTGGAGAAAGGGGAACCTTCCTACACTGTTGGTAGGAATGCAAGTTGGTACAGCCACTTTGGAAAACAGTGTGGAGGTGCCTCAGAAAATTAAAAATAGAGCTACCTTATGACCCAGCAATTGCACTCCTGGGTATTTACCCCAAAGACACAGATGTAGTGAAAAGAAGGGCCATATGCACCCCAATGTTCATAGCAGCAATGTCCGCAATAGCCAAACTGTGGAAAGAGCCGAGATGCCCTTCAACAGATGAATGGATAAAGAAGATGTGGTCCATATATACAATGGAATATTACTCAGCCATCAGAAAGGATGAATACCCAACTTTTACATCAACATGGATGGGACTGGAGGAGATTATGCTAAGTGAAATAAGTCAAGCAGAGAAAGTCAATTATCATATGGTTTCACTTATTTGTGGAACATAAGGAAGAGCATGGAGGACATTAGGAGAAGGAAGGGGAAAATGAAGGGGGGAATGGGAGGGGGAGACGAACCATGAGAGACTATGGACTCCAAGAAACAAACTGAGGGTTTTAGAGGAGGGGGGGTGGGGGGATGGGTTAGCCTGGTGATGGGTATTAAAGAGGGCACGTACTGCATGGAGCACTGGCTATTATACAAAAACAATGAATCATGGAACACTACATCAAAAACTAATGATGTATGGTGACTAACATAACATAATAAAATTAAATTTAAAAAAAAGAAACTAATGACGATAGTAACCTATGGAGTGGGTGGGAATAGGAAGTAAGGGATTAAGCTAAGAGGAAGACTTCTCTGCACTGTATCACTTTACATATTTTAATCTTTGAAACTTATGTTTCACTTATTTTAAAAATATAATTAAATCAAAAAGGATTTAAAAATTTAAAATGTATAGAAAAAACATAGATAAATCCAACTGTATATCACATTGACAATGTAACTACACAGAAAGAATAATTCAAATAACTTGAATACAGCAATCTGAATATTCTTTAAGATATATTCTAAAACCAAAAAGACTTTTTTTACTCAAAAAATCTTAAACTCCATTTAATAGGATTATTTTTTTATTGAGGTATAACTGACATACATTATATAGTTTCACGTATACAACATAATAATTGATATTTGTATGTACTGCAAAATGATCACCACAATAAATCTAGTTAACATCTGTCACCATGCATAGTTACATAAGAACTTGTAAGATCTACTCACTTAGCATTTATAGGTTTACTATTAGTTATAATAATAGTATGATTCCAAAGCTATTTTATGTATAATATAGGATAAACCAAAAAACATGCATTAATATTATAAAGAATTAAAATTTTCACTGCTGTAGAAAACAGAGGCAAATATAAAATTTTAGAGGTAAGAAAAACCTGCAATGTCAAAAATTTTAATTGGAAATATCAGTATTGATTCATGATTGAATAATATTAAATAATATATATGTATATATATGTGTGTGTAATCTGTGTGTTTCTTAGCTCTGTTCACTAAAAGTGCTAAAAGCCACAATATCCCAGTAAAAATAAGCACACCTAACACCAGATATCAGATCTTGGTTTCTATATACTGAAAGAAATCAGGGCTCCCTGATGAGACAGATGGCTAATTCCAGGTGTGGGGCAAGAAAAGCACAAGTAAAACTAAGACCATTTGTTGCTTTGGAAAACAAGAAAGCTGAAAGGTAAAAGTACTCCAAAGGACATAGGAGCACCCTTAAAGGAACCCTCTATCTCAAATCTGGGATAACTGAGACATTTAAAAAAAAAAAAGGTTAATAGATTATCATACATTAAATGAAAAAGGCCCATGCATCCTTAATGATACTCAAAAGAGCAAGAGAGAAAAGAGAAACTAAGGGAAATCTCTTTTCTATAGAAGAAAATCAGCAAGTAAACTTAGAAGAGCGATAAAATCAGAAAAATCATCACTTCAGGCAAAGATAAAAATGTATAAAAAATGATTCAGGCAAAGATTATCAACATATGCTAATATCTTTAACAAAAGGTAGTTGAGAAACAAACAGAAGATTCACAGGTCTCAAAACATCACCCCACAGATGACTCAGTAATTACAAAGGGAAAAAGGTACTTAGACAATGGAGAGATCTGGTGGCAACTACCTGAGCCAAGTGACCACGAATTCCTAATCTTGGGACAACCTGGTATTTTGTGTCTCTGATGTGATAGAGTGGGAAGAAAATACACCATTGGATAATATTTATATCAAAAGTGTTTTAACCTGAATCTAATCACCAGGGTAAAACTCAGACTAATAACACCCAGAAGCAGACCATTCTACAAGTCAACTAGTCTGGACTCTTAAAAAGGAGTCAATGTCCTAGGAACAAACAAATCAAAAGGGTGTGCTGTTCTAGATTAAAAGAACTAGAGACATAACAATAAATGCAGCGAACCTTAAGTAAGCCTCAATTAAAATAAAAGACCATAAAGATATTTGAGAGAATGGGGAATTTAAAACGGGCTATGTGAGATGGTATTATGGAATTACTAATTTTTCAGGATGATGGTTATGCAGGAGAATGATTTATTCCTAGGAAATGCAGTAATGTCTTAGTGGCCTTAGTCTCCCCAGTCCCAGAACCAGGGTTGCACATGGAGACAATGACAAAAGGACATTACCTCATTCTAAAGGCAATCCCTCCATCCCTCAGCTGCAGAAAGCATGGAATGGAGTGAAAATAATACTTAATTGATTAAATTCTGGACCCAAGTACAAATTCTAACTAGACATCTTGTTATAATCAAGAGAAAGGAATATTGTCATGTGGCGTTTAAATGACACTGGCAATCATTTTATTTTTACTCAGATGCTCCTTGATTTCATACACATTTTTTATTCAGATGCTCCTTCATTTTCATTTTATTCCCACATATTTAAAAAAATTAGAACTATTTACCTTGTCGTGAATGGCCCGCCGATTGGAAGGCTGTATTAGGACTTTGTATCCCAGGTTGGCGATGCCTTTGATGTGCCGGGGAGCCAGAGGTGCTCTTCTCTCCCAGGCATTCACATCCTCCCGCCTCAGGGCCACCACCGCTTTGTGATGAAGCCCTTTGGAGAAGCTGAGCCCCAGCCTGCCCAGTTTGGTCCCTTGTACTCGCAGCATCTTAAAACCTGGTGACTGTAAAGACATCATAAGAGAACAGGACAACAAAAGGCAGGAGGGCTCACAGATCAGTTCTGGTCTCCTGAGAAATCGGCTGTAAAATCCAACCAACTCAGATGTAACAGATACAAGATAGAGAAAAGAGGAGGGAAACCTTGGGTGACATCAGGTGCTTCTTTACCCAACAAACCCAAATTTCCACTAGTGAGGTTATTTATTTCCAAAATAATAAAAAAAAAAAGTACTGAGCAAATTATAGGACACTAGCCAGTATCTGCCAAGCCGAAAGAGTTTTTTAAATATATGTTTCATCAAACGTATTCGGCACAAAAGTTTTAAGCATGTTAACCTACAATGCAAATACAGGAAGATAATTTATGCCAATTTTGATGGCATAAAGGTTGGAATCCTTTAATCGTGTGCAAGATTCTTGACAATCCAGCTCCAATCTCTTTGGAGTTTCATCTCTGACCATTCCCTAAACTAGTGCTACTCAAAGTATGTTTGGCAGCCTGTTGATAGTCGATGACTTGCTTTTTACTGGTCCTGGATGAGCTATGCACAGAAATAGAAAGTAAGCGCCTGGAAACCTTTATATCACATGACCATTTTTCTGTAATTCATTGTCACTGAAATTTATGAAAGTATTGGTCCTGGCAGATGGGAAATTTAAGAAAACAAAACAAACATGCTTCTCCATGACAGGTGTTAAAAGGTTAAGAAGCACTGTCCTAACCCTCCCTGAACCTTTTGTTGATATAAACATGCTGTTCCCCTTTTCAGGGTTTCCTCTCCACACCACTTCCTCCTGCTATGATATTAAACCCAGACCTGTCTCAACCAGTTTTCTAGCTGCTATTCCAGATTGCACAATTCCGCTAATTTATTCAATCAAGAAATGTTTACAAGAGGCTTACTATGTGCCAGCACAGAGTAAATTTTATATAGATTTTTAAAGCATAAATATCAAACAATACTCTGTCCCTCTTCAAATAGTTACATACACTTGGCAATTTCAGATGATAATTTATGGATCATTTCAATGCTAAGCCTTAGTTTTTATGTTTAAGGTTGGCATCAAAATATAGGGACTGAATTTCACACTTTCTAGAAATTTCCTACCAATCACTGCTAACAGACATCAAAATTCTTATGAACACATTTCTGTTACATCAGACTGCAATCTTCTAAATCAGACCCACTTTACAGATGGGGAAGTTTTGTCTCAACAGTGGCACATACAAGTACATTTCCAGGGAGCAACTACTTAACACTTGAAATAGAAAATGTATAGGTCAACTCACAACACAACAGACTAAAAGAACAAAGCTAACAGCAAGGAGATCAGCTAAGAAGCCTTTAGAAAGAGGGACGTAAGAAAAATAATGCACACAGCAAGCGAACACGCTGATGAAAGCAACTCAGGCTTTTTCACTTGCCCAAAATACTGATGAGCAATATTTTAGTAAAAGACTGCTATATACTCTATCTAATTTTTGGTTTATTTATACAGTTTTGTTTTTAAAATTCTTTTTTGAGAAACAGAGAAAAAAAGAGAAAGAGCATGTGTGAGCAGTGGGGAGGAGCAGAGGGAGAAAGAGAATGCCAAGCAGGCTCCATACTCAGCACAGAGCTCAACACAGCGCTTTATCTCACTACCCTGAGATCATGACCTAAGCAGAAATCAAGAGTTGGACACGAGCCACCCACGCACCCCTATACAGTTTTGTTTTTAAAAGAGATTATATTAGGCCCAAACTCAAGCCCAAGTCCATAGCACTTATTCTCCCCCAAACCAAAGGAAAAACTGCAACAATCCCATAGGACTTAAATCCCTACGGTTCTCAAATAAAACCAATTCCAAAGACAAGTGAGTTTTTTTGAACACACAAATGAGCCTAGAAAGGGTCCCATCTTCCCCACAGGGCCTATTTCACATACCATAGGTGACGAAGTGACCCTGCATCCTCTATTCTTAGTAGCAATTCTTGGAGCCAATATGAGGGAAGACGTTCAGATAATTTAGTGTCTCTCCTCAGCCCAAACTTGATTTATAATCACAGCCTCACCTTATTCAGTGACCATCCCTCCACTTCTTCCTTACCTCCCTTGTCTGGGGTAGGGGATATGGTGTGGGAGGAGACACAGACACATACACACATATAATACACACATATGTATTTGCAAAGGCAGACTTTCTGTAGACTAGAAAAGAAGCGTAGCAGGGGGTGATCCTCTGAAGTTTCTTTGGGAAGCTGCTTTCACTTTCACTTTTTGTAGGGAATTCTCAAATCATAATTCCAACTTTGTTTTTAAATAAATATAACAATAATTGCCATTGATTTAACCTTATATGCCAAACACTATGCTGAACACTTTCCAGACATTATTTCATTTCCTCCTTGCAAAAATCTTAATAAGTAGATACTATTATTATCTTCATTTTACAGGTGAAAAAACTGAACTGGAATCTGCCTAGAGCTGTTGCTTCTAAGCAGAAGCAGGATTCCTAAGTTAATATTTAACACTCAGGATTTTTCTCTTCGCCGAAGCCTACAGATCCACACCATGTAGATCTGATGTATCTTACTGCTGCCAGCTCATTTTAGAAATAAATTAGATTCATATGGCATCAACTTTAATAGAGTAAGTGATCAGTTATCTCCCCAGCATGGAGTGCTTCTATCGATCCCTTTCCTATGTGCCACTGAAAATCCTTCCTGAGTCACTGCCAAGGTAAATTCTAGGTTTCTGGGTACTTAGAACAAGAGATTTAATTGTAGCAGGTATTACTGTGCTAGTAATTGTTTGAACTTCAAAATCTGGCCTCAACATGGAACTTTCCAGGGCCACAATTCATTCCATTCTAAGGTCATCAAGAAATCTGCAGTAGTGAGAATTTCTTAATTGTTCTTAGATAGGGCATGGCAGGTGTCTGGTATTTCATGGAAATGCCCAGGTGGGCTGTTTTGGATTTCCCTGTCCTGAATTTTGTGGGCTTTTCCAAGAATATCAGGAAGTAAACGTGAGGTATATTTCTGACAATGCTTTCAGTGAAACAAAGCAGGAAGACCCCTGGCTTACCTACTGGCTCTAGTGAGACCACTTGACAGTGCTAATGACAGCCTGTAGGATGAGCAAGGAGGAGGTGGGAAAGCAAGAAAAGGACATGAAGAGACAAAGAAAGAATTAGGGAAAATAAGGAGGAGGAACAGGAGAAGAGAAAGGGTAGGAAGAGAAGTGTCACATAGTCAGCGGAGGGAAATAAGACCCTTCCCCTGACAATTTCTAAACAGTCTTTTTCCTTCAACATATAAAATGCCAATGTTCCTAGTATCATAAAAATGAAATTTAAAAGATTCTTCTCTGTTTTTGTAAACCAAGAACAGCACTAACGTATACATTTTTAATCAGGAATTTGAAATAACTCTAAAAAGTCACAGGAGTATTATAGTGAATTGCACAGACATGTACTGAGATAGGAGGACAATGAGTGGATGGACTTAGCAATAGAACATACTCTACGATAACCACCGTACCTGTCTTTCCATCTTTCAATGGGAAAAAGACTTAAGAACTTCTTTTAATTTACAAATTACCTATCTTTGCAATGTATACATGAGAATGGGGCAGAGGGAGGACACCCTTAAATGTTCTTGGTATTTTCTAACCTTTTCAAAGAAGTGAACAGGAAAATGGTCATTAGAGATAAAGATGATAAAGCAAGCCTAGAATTCCATACATATCCCCCATTTTCTTTCAGTTACTATGAAACAAACCATGATCACTGAGTATATCACCATCCTAAATCACATAAAGGAACCAGAGAAGATTTTGTGAGATGTATTTATAAAAGATTACATCTAAGGAAAAGCTACCTTCAAGAGCAGAGGACCACAGCTCCATGGCATTGAGTCTTGGCCCACACTACATACTTGGTTTCCAGACCATAATAATCCTGGAGAGGCCCAAAAGGGTTCCAAATTAATAGAACACCTCGTGATAGCCTAGAACTGATCCAAATGCCTCTCAACCCCAAGGCTGGCTAGAACAAGGCTTGGGCAAGCAGCAACACCGTCCTCCAGACTTTCACTTCCTGTTGCATAGGTACATTCTTTTAATGCTTCCACATTAAACTCCTTATAAAACAGTTAACCATATGTTAAAAAACAAACAAAAACAGTAAACTTGGGGCAGGGGGAATCTACTAATATTAATTAATCTGGTCTAAGAATATTCATGTTTTCAAGCAGCTACTCAAAGTCATCTGAAGATCTAAGACCCATGACTCTTCTGGTCTTTAGACCACAAATTTAATATCATTGAGATGGAATGCAAAGTTAATTTTAAATTGGAGTCTAATCCAAAATGTTTATCTGCTTATCTGTCCTTTTGCTAAACTATAAATGCTTACTCTATGACCTTGGTACATCACTTGACCTTTTTGTGCCTCATCTGCAAAATGGATTCATATTAATATCTACCTCTCAGGGCTACTGTGAAGTTTACCTAAGCTAATATGCATAAAGTACTGAGTACTATCTTGCATGCCATTAATGCTCAATAAATGTCAAGAACCAAAGAAGGCCCCAAGCCTGCCTACTCCTCAAGGGTGAGCACAACCACACCACTAACAGAAAACACTACTTTCTCCTTCTCTTTGTTACACAGTAGTAAGGCCCCACAGTGGCTCCACATTGACCACCCCCTTCCTCTTTCCATTTGTCAAGGAAAACAAAATGGAGCCCAGTAAGCCCTCTCCTCAACTTCACCCTTCCGGCCTAGGTGTTCAAGATAAATAACTTACCATTTTAATACTGTATTTCATTAAATTTATGACACATTTTTTCACATTTTAGCATCCCTGAAACAGGGATGTATTTTACGATCGACGGCATCTTAGATTCAATGAAAACAGTAATAATGTTATTCCCCATGCCAAATGTATAGTTTCTTAATTCCATAGAATTTTTTTGTGATCTCACCAAGAACACTTGCCACAGTTTGCAATGTTATTTCTATGAGATAATTAATAAAAGAATATTTGGAAAAATGACACCTTTTCTGTTAAAGGGGCACTGCATACATACCAAAGATCACTTCCAAAATCCTGAGCTGTTAAGGTCTGTTAAGGCTTAAAAGCTTGGGACGGGGAGAGGGAGGTGGGTAGGAGGATTCCATTGCAAATAAATCAAAATAAAGTTCTGATAATGCTGTCACCAGTAGCAAATGAGATTGAAAACAAATACGATTTTCTGGAGAGTGGGAAAGTCACTAGGGAAAGTTGTTGGCCTAAATCTCTGTCCTCCTAACTCACTTTGCAGAATAGCACAAGTTTACACTGCCAGAAGGTCATATACCCCTAGATTCACTCATCTATGCAGAAAAGGGGGTGGGGGGGAGTGCAAGTGACAAAATATACACGCAGAGACATATAGACATCCATGCAAAGTGCTACTGTTGACTTTTGTTTTTACCATAAAGTATGTGAAAGCTACCACCTGAGTAAATGATCCTTCAGTCCCATGAAAAGCTACATCCGCATAATCACAGCCACACCTTCCTCACGTTTTGATAACTGATGACCCACAATATCAAAAAATGTTCACCTTTGTTCAGGTTACTGATCGCTCTCTCTCCCTTCGTCCCTTCCTTCCTCTCCCCAGGCCCCACTCCACTCCCACTCCCCTAAAATCATGTCTGAAAAGGACATCACTTCTCTAAGTTGTCAGGGCATTTAGCCCAACTCAATCGGGCAGAGTAGCAACGAACTGCGTCTGCTTGCGCCCCTTTCCCGCATAAGTGCTCACACTGGCCTCGCAGCCCCTGCAGGGTCTCAGGAGTTCAGGAGTCGCTGATATTCAGGGTGCCCAAATTTCTTACACCTTCTTGGTCTGTTACAGTGTAGCCAAGAAGCAGCAGTTTGCTGGGGGGGGGGGGGGGGAGTCCCCATCTCAAAGAGAATGGCCAGCCCGAGATGGTCAGGGCTAGGCGTTTGTGATCAGAGTTTGGCTAAGCAGGCCAGAGCTGGAAAGGTCGACCGGCAACCGTGCACAGAGAAAGTTGGGGTTAAGGGAAAGGACTGCCCCCCAAAATCTCCATCAACCACACCCCGCAGCCAGCCGACCTAAATAAGCGTGCAGTCCGAAAATTAACAGGGTGTTCGTTCTGCAGCTTCCACACCTATCCTTTACTCCCCAGCAACCGCTCCCGCTTCCCCGCCAAAAAAAAGAGAAAAGAGAAAAGAAAAAAAAAATTGATTGCCATCCCTTCCCTTTGCTATTCAGAAATTCCAGAACTGCGCCGACAGCCCTCCCTCGCTCCAAGGGAAACGCTCGCAAGGGAGGCCCCAAAGCTCGCCACCCTCTCCCTTGCCCGTCCGAGCAACCGCTGGGTTCCGCAGAGTCGCGGGGTGGCCCGCGACGCAGGGCGTAGGAGGCAGAGCTCGCCCGCCGCTCTCGGAGGACAGTCGGAGCCTCGCCGGCGATCTCCAAGCGCATCTCGCCGGCTGGGCCCCTCCGCCCGTCGGCTCAGCCCCCTCCGGGCAGCCCTCCTCACCTCGTCCCCTCTGAGGTTCCGACCGGTCCTGCCGCCTCCGAGCTCCTGGGTCCGGATATGGAAGGCTCCGAATTCCCAGCAGAAATTGGGATGGGGGCCGGGAGGAGGAGGTGTTTGCTCAACTTCTGAGGACGTCATGCCTCTTCCTCCCGCAGCCAATCAGCGGCCGCCCTGAGGGAACAACCTTCTCCTCCGCCAATTGGCGGCGCTGCCAGGTGCTAAGTCATGCCCTGCCCCTGCTCCTCCCCGAAAATCCTTCTGCCTTCTAGATCTCTGACCTGCGGGCGTCCTTAGCTGGGGGCATCACGTCCTCCCAGGACAGTTATTGACCAAGTTTGTAACTGTCCGTAGCAGAGGACAGGCGGAGACGCAGAGGACGAAAATAGTACGGGCATTATACCTAGATAGATGTGTGTATCTCCTGGAAAAAAGTTGCGAACGCATGTCTATTATGTTTGTTTAGCGATACACACTTTTCGAAGCGTTTCACAGCTTCATAATAAGCCTGTGAAGCCAGATGACGGTTCTTAGAACAGTTTTAGAGTCCAACAAACTGAGACTAGGAAATTAAATGTAGTGTATCCACATCCAATGAATATTAAGAATCTATGTGTATATGGCAAAGTCTATATTCTTAAAAAGTTTTAAGTGGCCCTAGAGGGACAGGGGGAAATGCACTTCATGAAGACTAGCCTCAGCACTAGAGGTTGAAGAAATGCCAGACGCCCATCTGTGGTCCTTTAGGGAGTCAATGGCCAAAAGGTAACTGTCCTTCCTATTCTTATAACTTTCTCCAACACAGACTTTTCTCATACCTACCACAGATGTGTTTAACCATGAAACTCTTGTGTCAATAATCCAGAGCCTAGAACATTCTTATAAACTCCACTTGTACTCCAAGTGCAGAGAAAATTAAAATCTTTTCTGGAAGCTGAGACTGTCCTCTGTATCTCTAGCTTCACATACCCAAAATCATACTCCTAATCACTCCTCTCTAATCACTCCTCTCTTAAAGTCTTCCGTTTGTGCTGGGTTTCCCAGCTCCATTCTTGGTATCACCAGCTTCCTAATCACCACTGAGCCAGGCCTGAAACACCAAATTTGCTTCAGTTCTTCTTCCATCTGTCAACCTTATCCCTGGTGTTGACTCTGTCCTTTAAAATCCCTCTCCTATCACTCTCACCCAAACCCCTTTTATGCACTACCTAGATCATATTCCCTTAAGCACACAACTCTGATCATATCATTAGCCTGAGCAAAATCCCCTGAGACTATCCACTATCTGTAGACCATTGCCCCAAGTCCTTCAGGCAACATATGAGTTGCTTCAAGATATGGCCCAAATCAGCCATCTCAGCTTTATTTCTATAGTAGAACCTGCCTTAAACTGACACTGAAACACAATCTGTGCTTTTCTATATCCCTAAGGATTAGGAGCCTGAATCAGAATCCTTACTTTTCCCCCTCAAGCTGTAAATCATGGGAAAGTTACTTCATTTTCAAAAAAGCCTAGGTTCCCTTATCTGTCGATAGAATAATACTAGGAACTACTTCACGGGGTCATTATGATAACAAAATAAGCTGATGTCCAAAGTGTTCTGCCAAGTGTCTAAAGAAACTGACAATTATTATTTCTCCCCCAGTATCTCATGCTGTCCACTTTTCTGTAATTCTCATTTACAAAAACGTCCACCTCCCCAAAACTAATCCATCCTTTAGGGTTCAGCTCAAATGCCACTTCATCAATGAAGCTGTCCTTGAATACCAAGCAGATCCGCTCTCTCCCTTCTCTCTCCGTCTGCCTCTCTTGTTGTACTCACCACAGTCTTCCTTATACAATAGCCATTTGTATCTAGCTTATCTCCATCTCTCACCTGTCCTCACTATCAGCTCATAAAACCTTTAATAAAAGCAAGTATTTATGTGTGTGTATATATATCCTTACTCACTTTTTCCCCATTGCTTCTAACACAATACTATGCATGTGATAGATCAGAGTCTCAGAAGGAAACAGATGGCACAATCCAACTGAGTAAGTTAGGAGACATGAAAGGAGTAAGTGTGTGCAGCAATAGAGGAAGGCAACAAAAAGATGCTGCCTTCCCCCCCACCCCCCAGGGACTAGCAACAGTGAGAAGTACCTGCAGGCCTTCATGCGGCCAGGTAAGAGATGGTTACCAGAACTCAGAAAGAGCTCTAGCTTGGTGTAGCTAAACCTATGGGGAGTGCCACTTGATAGTGGTGGCTTTTAGCAGGCAGGGAGCTGCCTAAGGAACAAAAAACTCCACCCAGAGGGAGCTACCTAAGGCAGAAGTCAATAAACTTCTTTCTGTAAAGGGCCAGAAAGGTCTCTGTCACAACACCCAACTCTGCCATTTGGAGTGTAAAAGCAGCCATAGACAATACTTAAATGGATAGGTGTGGCTGTGTGCCAATAAAACTTTATTCATAAGAACATTGCAGAGCAGATACGGACCAGGGGTCATAGTTTATAGACCTCTGGCCTAAGGAATGAATAACCTCCCTTCATTCTCCTACCCTCCCATCTCCTGCTGGTGCTATCTACAAATTGAACACAAGAAAAGCCAGAGGGTTGGTGTAGTCCATAAATGTTAGTCCCTCAGGGACAGAGCAGGTAGAGAAGGGGGCAGAAATTCTAGAAGATTCAAAGGAGAATATTCAGCACAAAAGGTTTTCAGCAAATGCTTGTCAAAATTAATGAATCATATGACTGGTTACTGTGAATTACTCTGCAAATGGTTGAACATTCATGGGAAAACTATCAAAATTACTTCCCTGAATAGACAAATTTGGAAAAGGGCCCTGGACCATGGTGACCCCACAAAGGGCCCATGAGGCTCAGTCAGCTTCTCTCCTGCTTTACTTTGAAACCTCATCCACTTCTGACCTGCCCTCACCTTGAAGAAATACTAACCTGTCCCCAAATTCCTCCCGTGTAAATTCCAAACTACTGCTCAAATGCTTATGGTATTCAGGAATTTTGCAAAATATGTGAATGAGAAATACTGTTCCTTAAAATGGGGAATTCAAATGTTTTTCATCATAGTGATATTTGTTTTAATAAATGTGACAGTTCTCAGAAATTTCTTCACAATGAAAAGGGGCAACAGATGAGATTAAAAACAGGACTTGGATATACCCCAAGTCAGCTCCCACAGTCAACCCCTCAGACACCCTCAATATGGGAGACCCCGGGCGCCTGGGTGGCTCAGTTGGTTAAGCGACTGCCTTCGGCTCAGGTCATGATCCTGGAGTCCCTGGATCAAGTCCCGCATCGGGCTCCCTGCTCGGCAGGGAGTCTGCTTCTCCCTCTGACCCCCCCCTTCTCATGTGCTCTCTCTCATTCTCTCTCTCAAATAAATAAATAAAATCTTTAAAAAAAAAAAAATATGGGAGACCCCTTCTACCCATGTGGGGTGCTAGGTTGACACTCTTAAATTAGAAAGTTGATTTGGGGCCATTCAAGCTGCCTTTCTCCCACCTTCTTTGGCTTTCTTTCTTCCCTAATTGTTCCTCACTTTGGTTCTGTCCTTCCTGAAAGACCCTGAGGGTAGTAGTTAGGCATCTGAACACTGCAGTGAGCTGGACCTAGACTTAATCCTCCTTTTCCACTCACTAACAAGCCATTTTGTTTCTTCGTTTCCTTGTCAGGACAATGGGAAAAATCATAGAGTTCTCAAGAAGATTAAGTGAAGCATGTTCTCAATATATGTGAGCTATTATTGGTGCTCACTATTTTATTCTGTCTTATCTTCTCCTCCCCCCCCCCATTTTTTTTTGTGTGTTCAGAACCCACTCTCAATCTTTTTTTTTTTTTAAAGATTTTATTTATTTTTTTGACAGAGAGAGACATAGTGAGAGCAGAACACAAGCAGGGGGAGTGGGAGAGGGAGAATCAGGCTTCCCACAGAGCAGGGAGCCCGATGTGGGACTCGACCCCAGGACCTTGGGATCATGACCTGAGCCTAAGGCAGACGCTCAACGACTGAGCCACCCAGGCGCCCCCCACTCTCAATCTTAAGTTAATTTTGCCATAAAGAGAAAAGAGATGGACATTTGGAGGGAGGAGGTAGAAGCAATCCAGCATGCTACTAAGTTTGTTCTACTTATTTCTCAAGACCTTATATTCTTACATGAACAGAAATTTTTATTATATCAGCTATAATCTGCCCACCGTAATAAATTATTCTATTATAAACACAAGCTTCTTGTAGACAGAAAGTGCAAAATCAAATGTACAAAATTAAAAAAAATAGTTTAGGAAGGCAAAGTTTCTAAATGACAATTACTATTGTTGCCTCCCCAGTTATCTTAGGAATGAAACATACCTACCTATCTTCAAGCAATTTAAAACTGATCGGGTAAGGCAAAAGCAGGAACCACCCACAGATAAATCGTAATTCCTGCAAACAGTTTCTGAATGGAGATAGTGATGTCCTGGGGGACTGTTCCCCACTCACCTTTTATTAAAAAGCAGAGAAATCTAATTCCTAGTTTACCTCCTCTACCATTAGCAGTCCTTAACAAGCATTCCTGAAGAAAATAAAATTCAAGAAAATTTCAAAGCTCCTTTGCAGTTCCAGCGTCAACCTTTACTGGTTTCTAATGTTTCACAAAGTCCTCAAGGGTCTTGTCATCCCGTGAGAGTTAAGTGTGTGTAGGTATACCTCAATGGGTGAGTTTGCTGCCCATCATCGCCTGCTTAGTAACTGTTATTCGAAGTCTACTAGGACTTGCACGTTTTCAGTTACATATCATTGTATTTTATAAATTGGTTGAGAATTATAAGTTATAATAATATAAGCAAATTTGAGGAATGCAAATTTTGGAGTATATCTCCCTGACTAATGATGGATCTAATAAATTCAAATCAAGGAAGAAAACCCAGTGCTTTTCCTCTCAGTCTTGTTTGAATGAAAGTCTCAAGAGAGAATGTGACTTGAGGGACTGAGAAAAGATTGGAGAAAGGAGGGGATAGGTTATCAAAGTAAAAATAAAACACAAGTATAATTTTTCTGGCATATCTGTAAGTGTAATTGAGCCAGAAACAACTAGCAGATCAGGTTTA